GTGGAGGCATGTGGGCCACCGGAACCGACGATGTCCGACGGTGTCTTGTCGCCGGAATAACGCCGATCGCCGGAGGGTGGTCACTGAAAGTCTCCGATCAACTTCAATATATCTAATTTGCATAATTTTGTCCTTTCGTTAAAAAACGGACAACCCCGCGAATTATAGAAACATTACGGGATTGAATATATATATTACGGGGCTGGATAAATATATATAGATCGCTTGACAACCTCTAATCTTCTAGTGTATGATCTGAAATCTAATCCAATCATCTTGGTAGGCGATGAAATCGGGTCTATCTCTACTGGGATTACTTGGAGAAGAAGAAGAGAACACAAGAGAGAAGAGAGAAAAATAGAGGCGGCGTGTGTACCCTTTCTCACGTGAACAATAAAACTGTCTCATAATCCCAAGAGATGTGATGTATTTATAAGCTACAACAAGGATCCTAAGGAGGCATTAAATTGGGTTTCTCCTATTTAGATTAGACTAGGCCAAGCCTACCAAACCCAAATAGGAATAATACGTACACTCCACTAAAGTAGTATTATTGAATAAACTCCCAATTTAATTCCCGAATTATGTTCGAGTCTCCAATAATAATTACTCGATTTATCTCCCCACGTTTAAGATATAATATCCATCAATTAATTTAATTACTGACAATTAAATTAATCGACATCTATAACCGAGACTAGTACCACTCATACCATTATTATTAGGTCGGAATAAATTCCACTGGCCAGATTTAACATAATAATCCTTCATGAGCTCATCTCGGGGACATCATCAAACTCACGCACACGGTGGCCGTAAATATCCTAACATCACATCATAGATGCAACAATATTACCCAAGACAGAAGGTCTATTGATCCAGTTCACTAAACCTCATCCATGTGAATCAAAGTAATGTATACTGCATATATATGCATGTTTAATATCTTACAGGTTAAGAGAACGCAGTAAGTAACCGAGTCCTAGTTCGTTTACGACGATCAGTATAAAACAAGCTGCTACTCTCTGGGATCCTGTTCAATACATAAATGTACTAGTGCAACTAATCAGTCAAGAAAAACTGTACCGTTGACACTACAATCGTTCACGATGGGGTGTTCATGTCCATCTAGGTTGTGAACAATTATTCTTGTTTCGCGAGTAATTGTAGAGTGCTCTTCGGTTCGTCCGATGACGACCCATCCTATATAATGCAAAACAACAGAACATAGACTGTTAAATTAAACATGATTCTTATTTGTCTCATTTTTTTTGCGTTTTTCATTGTCTTTTAGTCTTTATTTTCCCCCATTTTAGGTCTTTTAATTGGTTTTTAGGTCGTTATGTAGTTTATTTCGTGGTTCGCTTTATTTTAGTCTTTCTCGTGTTTTTCGGTATTTTTCCAGTTTTTCGTTGTCGTTGGTGTGCAGGTTGGAAGTCTCGGGAGATTAGGATTTTGGGAAAATATTAGTCGGGACATCATAATCAAATATAAGACGTCGAGGGCATCACACAAGAGAAAACGGAATCAGATTCCATGTCCAGACGAGCATATACGAGCCCAAAACGTAGAGTCGTGCGCATAGACCCACGAAGCTACCAGGTGTCGCGCCGCCCCCGACATCTCCCCACGCCCGCTTCGCGTCGCGCATGTTCCACGAGTTGGACAGATGACCGCTCCCAGACCTTCACGCCGCGCCACCTGCTGCCGCGCCGTGCTCTTGCTCCACGCCGTGAAGGATGACCTTGCCGCACCGTGCAAGTCCCATGAGATGGTCAGAGGACGTACGTCTGCTGCTGAGTCACGCCGTGCCAAGCTCCGCGCCGCGAAGGACGAACCTGCCGTGCCGTGCCAGTCTCCACGCCGTGAAGAGATCTCTTGCCACGCCGCGCCTGCAGCCCCGCGCCGCGGAGGAGCTTCCCACCACGCCGTGCCAAACTTACCACGTCGTGCCGCCCTCGTATAGAACATACAACCTCGCGCCATGTCATGACTTCCGCGCCGCGGCCAACACGCCTGCGACGCCGTGCAGGATCTTCACGCCTTGGTCCAGCCACTCTCCGCACTGCGGCATAGCCCCACGCTGCGACGCCTGCCCCTTACATGTCGCGCACAAATCCTCACGCCCGTGGCACCTATTATTATATACATATCGCACGCGACTTTAGAAAAAAGGATCTCTCGACCGGGTGAAAGCCCTAGGTCCCGAAAAAACACAAAAATTCCTCCTCTCCCCTTCTTTCTTCTTCTTCTTCGATCTTTTTCTTCTTCTTTTCCTCTTTATTTTTGATTTTTCTCATTCTTCTTCGGATTAAGCTTGTATCTCGAATTCAACATTCGAACTTGGATTGGAATAATTGTAAGCTTTTCTCTCTTTTTTAATTCATGAATAATGATTAAATTTGGAGAATTGATTTATTATGTTGAATTCAATATGTTTAGCTAATTCCTATTACTAGGGATAGGGAATAATTGATCATGTTTAACGTGTATCTCTCGGGCTTGAATTATTTGTTCTTGTGTGGGTTGATTTAATTCTGAATTGATGTAATCTTGCTTGATTAATTGATATAATCGAAGAGATACACTTCGATCTTGCAATTGGTAACGATTGGATGTTGATTAGTCGAGTTAGTGTTTGTCAACTCGATATGATTAGTTGATTAATCACCTTCTAGTTAAATTAGCGACTTTTTGAACCGAAAGGGGAAGAAGTTGTAGACCTAGGCTCGCATAAGGTGGATGATTTCGTAACCGAATAATCTATGGATTTTGGATTGAAATATATGCTTGTCGGTGTCTTCTCCCTTATTACGAAAAGTTATTGGGATTGGATTATTGACTGGTATTGTATGCTCGAACTTGCTCGTCTTGTTCAATCCCTTGTTATGAAGAGTTATTGGGAGCAAACCGCTAGATGTTTAAGCGAGAGCGTCAATCTAGAACAGAGTGATTTATGTTCCGTTGTGCAAATAGAACTTGAATTAATTGTCTCCTATTCCCTAGCTTCTCCATCTTTATTTCGTTCATCTTTTTAGGTAGATTCATGCTTTTTATTATTTCTTAGTAGATAGTTATTCAAACCCTTTATCTGATTAGTATGTTTAGGATTTATTGTGCTTTTATGTGTTGTCAATACCAAAGCTGAATTTCAAACCGCCTTCCTCGTGAGATCGACCCGGGGAACGAATCTTTCGATTCGGTACTCGGTAAAAATAATAATTTGTACACAACAATTCTCATTCAAACGGGTTCAGTGTAAGTACATCTAAAGCCAAGCTTTCAGTATAAACACCAAAAGGTGTGCCCCTCCTCGGGGATACCCTATTTACAACCGAACATATGGTCACTGTGGCTAGACATCCGAGCACTTTTCTCACTGCCTCAGAGGGTTTCCTCGATAGTTTTCTTGCCCTATGCGGTCTTTCAGCCGAATGGCGCTTTGTGTCACCTCGACACGTTTATGATCATCCCTCTACTAGTTGTAATACCTTTTTCAATGACCAAATCCATTTAGGGCTCAGACTCTCCATTAGCTCTGCTCGAGCTCTGTAACGTGTTCGGAATTCCCATTAACCAATTGTAGCCCAACTCTGTCCACCAATTAGTTATTGTAGCTATCCTCTCTATAATAGCCCAATTTATTATTAATAAAAGTGATATGTTTAGTTCCGAGGTTGAACTGATTTTTTCTTTTATTACTATTGCTCGTGTTAGTTTTCGAGCCCAGTTAGTAAATTATTCAGTAATAAATTCGACTCTAAGTCGAAAGATTATTCGGTTTAAATTATATTCAGTAAACGAATTAGTTTCGATAATTAATTCCGATAAGTTTATATTTATAAACGAATATCATTAGTCGGGATTAATTATTTTAAGTCGACGTATTATTCAAAGTCGAGATATTCGAATTAATCGTCAAAGTCGAGTCCCGACTAAAATCGAGTAAATTCGGTCATAATATTTCTAACTCTAGTCGGGTTCATGTTAAGCTTGAAATTATTCTAAGTATTTAGTATATATATTTGTAAGTATAAGAATTGTACCAATTTCACATAGCAAGGTTAATTTATGCGCCATATGTTGTACCTAAGACCAAATCCTTGCGCATGATGTAGGAATTAAGGACATTAAGCTCCATTATTAGATTATACCGATCCTTATATGCTTAGTAAAGTCAATAGTGAGGAGTCTTTTTGTTACGCCACCTCATAAGGTGATTAGGCTTGTAAAATGCCACGATTTAATCTTTCAAAGGCAAGTGGCATCTCTACAAGGCTCTACCATATATTACCACCTTTTAATCATCTTATAAGTATGTGATGTCCGAGAAAGAGAGAAGTTACTCCATTTTATTTACCAACTTCATAAGTATTTTTGATGCCCAATTTGGCCTCGCCTATTAAAATATTACACGTGGATATGTATCAAATCAATTTCTTTATTTATCATATTTTTAGGGCCCAAAAATAACACCGCTTGTAATAATAACGGCCCACGAAAAACACACACACACACACACAATGTATATATATATATATACCCGATGATGGACGTCATCGAGAGAGGTCTGAGGGGCATTATTTGTTGGGAAATAAGGTCGGATAAGATGGAATAATAATAACACACCAATATCAATAAAAGACACGAAGATTTATTAACCAAGTTCAGATTAAATCCTACGTCTGGGGGCGAACCAAGCCAGGAGAATGAACTAGAAGAAGAGGATAAACCGAATGTTACAACTCACACAAGCCCGTATGAATACACTCTCTTTACTCTTTTTTTTCTCTCTCTCTCTCTCTGTAGTTATATTTTTGGTTGTAGTACTCGATCATCAGAATTGCTCTCTATTTATAGTGAAAGCTATCAAAGAAATGGGGCTTCAAAATTCCACAATGGTGTGCTAGGTTGGTGCAATATTTCAACATCTTGGGGTTGTCAAAAGGAATGGGCTCAGCTGCCCTGACTCAACAATCTCCCACTTGAGGGCTGATTTCAATCTGTCCTCACACCTTCGTTATCTCCACTTGAGGATTGATCAACATGTTCATCTTTGTTCCTGGTTCTGCCAGGTTTGTCTGTTTTAATCATCAAGGCCGGTCAAAGCTACACACAGTGTCAACTTTTCCAAAGTTACCGCCTTGGTCAACATATCTGCAGGATTAATATCTCCCCGAATCTTTTTTAGCTGCAGCATCTTCTTCTCTAGAAGTTGTCGAATGAAATGATACTTAACCTTGATGTGCTTCGTTCGCGAGTGAAACGCGGGATTCTTTGCCAGATGGATTGCACTCTGGCTATCGTTGCATAGAGCCACATCCTCCTGAGGTCTCCCAAGTTCATTCAGGAAGTTTTGCAGCCAAACGAGCTCCTTGGCTGCCTCCGTCACTGCCACGTACTCAGCTTCCGTTGTTGACAATGTGACTATCTTCTGCAGCTTTGAGATCCAGGATACGGCCGTCCCGCCATATGTGAACACGTACCCAGTAGTACTCCTCCTCTTGTCATGATCACTTCCTGCAAAATCAGCATCGACAAACCCAGACAGGGTAAGGGTACCCCTGCCAAATACCAATGCCCGGTCCTTAGTACCTCTCAGGTACCTAAGGATCCACTTTACCACCTCCTAGTGCATCACTCCAGGATTGCTCATAAACCGGCTGACTACTCCCACTGCATGTGCTATGTCTGGCCGGGTGCAGACCATAGCGTACATTAGGCTCCCGATGGCTGAAGCATATGGCATAACTCTCATCCTTTCTTTTTCAGAGTCATCCTTGGGCGAATCCTTGTTGGACAACTTGAACTGGCTTCCCAATGGCACTTCAATCGGCTTTGGAATATCCATTTTGAATCTGCACAACACCTTCTCAATATAATCAGATTGAGAAAGCCAAAGTTTACCAGCATTCCTGTCCCTCGTGATTTTCATGCCCAGTATCTGTATCGCTTCTCCTAGATCCTTCATATCAAATCTCATTGATAGATGATCCTTGAGCCTCTCGATCTCCTTGACATCTGATCCTGCTATCAGCATGTCATCCACATATAGCAGTAAAATAATGAAAGAGTTACCGAACCTTTTCACATAGCAACAGTGATCAGCATTACACCTGGAGTATCCAATCTCCAGCACGAAATTATCGAACTTTCGATACCACTGTCGAGGAGCCTGTTTGAGTCCATACAAACTCTTCTTTAGGCGGCAGGCCTGCTGATCATTTCCTCTATACCCCTCTGGCTGCACCATGTAAATTTCTTCCTCGAGATCCCCATGCAGAAAGGCCGTCTTTACATCTAACTGTTGCAAGTCCAAGTTTTCCACTGCTACCATGCTTAACACTAGACGAATAGTGGTTGACTTAACAACAGGAGTAAGAACGTCAGTAAAGTCAATACCATATCTCTGTTGGAATCCCTTTACTACAAGTCTGGCCTTGTATCGCTTCGTCCCATCTGATTCCTCCTTGACCCGATAAATCCATCTGTTTTGAAGAGCCTTCTTTCCTTTTGGGAGATCACACAAATCCCATGCGTGGTTCTTCTTCAACGAGTTCATCTCGTCGTCCATCGCAAGCTCCCATTTGCTCTTGTGGGCATCTTTAACTACCTCTTCATAACAGTCGGGTTCCTCAGAATCAGATAAAAATAGGTAATAAAGAGAAGGGGAGTACCTATCCGGGGCCCTTCTCATCCTTGGTTCTCGGCCCAGTGCCAGAGGCGTGTTGCTCTCAGCAATCGGTTCATCTGATGTTGGTTCTGCCTCTTCTTCTGTACGCTCGATCTAACCTATCTGAGCTCCCACTGAATCTGCTGGTCTCATGATTCTGGTATTTGAAATATCGAGACCAACATACTCCTGCATGGTCTTGTCATCGTCCGGGTATTCCTTCCGGTCCTTGTACATTATGCCTTCATTGAACACCACATTACGACTACGAATAATTTTCCGATTTTGATCATCCCAAAATCTATACCCAAATTCGTCAGTCCTATATCCAATGAATGTACATTTGACGGACTTAGCATCCAGCTTTGTCCAGTCGTCGTTCAAAACGTAAGCCAAATAACCAAAGGTACATAAGAAAGAGAGATCAACTTTCTTACCACTCCAGACCTCTTCTGGAATTTTGTTGTTCAGTGGGACAGAAGGCCCCCGGTTGATCAAGAAAGCGGTCAGGCTGACTGCTTCTGCCCAAAATATCTTGGGCAGTCCACTCTTCAATCGCATGCATCTCGCACGCTCATTCAGTGTCCTGTTCATCCTCTCCGCAATGCCATTTTGCTGAGGTGTCCCTTGGATCATCTTCTGCATCCGGATCCCATGATCAGCGCAGTATTCCTTGATGGCTTCACTGTTGTACTCGCCACCATTGTCGGATCTGAGACATTTCACTTCCAGACCTGTCTCTTTCTCCACGAGTGCTCTCCATCTCCTGAAAGTATCAAAGGCTTCGGATTTTCTTTTCAGAAAGTACACCCATACCTTTCTTGTGCAGTCATCGACGAACGTCATGTAGTACATCGATCCTCCAAGAGATGTCACCGGTGCTGGCCCCCATAAGTTAGTGTGCGCGAGCTCCAGCTTTTCTGTCTTTGGAGCTCTCCCGGTGGTTGTGAATCTCACTCGCTTCTGCTTTCCAAGCACGCATTGCTTGCAGAGACCCACGTCCACTGACTCCAACTCGGGCAAAAGTCCTCTCGACTTTAGTACCTTCATTCTTTTCTCGCTCATGTGGCCCAAGCGACTGTGCCACAAGTGCGATTGTGAGACAGCTCCTGCCAGGAGAATGTTTGAGCTAGATCCACTTGTCGTGTAAAGCGTTCCTAACTTCAGCCCTCTTGCCAAAGTCATAGCTCCTCGGCTGACCTTCCACTTTCCGTCTCCAAACATTGTGTGGAAGCCGTCATTGTCCAGCTGTCCAACTGAGATGAGATTCCTCTTCAGTCCTGGAATGTGCCTCACATCCCGTAGGGTCCAGCATGACCCATTTGCTGACTTGATCTGCACATCTCCCTTCCCTACAATTTTTAGGGGTTTGTTGTCTGCAAGATATACCACGCCAAAATCACCTGCGGTGTATGGCTTCATGATGTCTCTGCTACTGCAAGAGTGAAACGATGCCCCTGAATCCACGATCCAGTCATCGAGCGAGCTTCTCACACTCAACAAGAGTGCATCCGCCGTGTCCTCCGTCGCAACATTGGTTGTCCGGCCTTCTTTGTCCTTCCTTGGTGCTCGGCATTCGCTTTTCATATGCCCAGGCTTCTCGCTGTTCCAACACACCATTTCTTTCTTGCCTTTATTCCTTCCCCTGGATTTTGACCTCCCACGAATGTTCCCTCGTATTTCGGGTCTCCCTCTGGACTCTGTATGTAGGGCTGAGCCAGACGACCCACCCGCCTGATTTCTGCGGGTCTCTTCGTTCAACATCATGTCTCTTATGTTGTCGAACTTCATCTTCTCCTTGCCAGAAGAAGTGCTCACCGAAGTAACAACCACGTCCCAACTGTCCGGCAATGATGAAAGCAAGATTAGAGCTTTTACCTCATTATCAAACGAAATATCCACCGATGCCAACTGCGTCGTGAGTTGGTTGAAATCGTTGAGATGATCGGCCACTGACTTTCGCTCCTCCATTTGCAATTTGAACAGCTTTTTCATCAGCATCACCTTGTTTATTGCTGATGGTTTTTCATACATGTCGGCGAGTGTCTGCAAGACCTCCTTCGTGCTTTTTGCTCCCTTCACATGGTAGGCGACGTTCCGAGAGAGCGAAAGAATTATAGCGCTCATCACCTTCTGATCGAGCACCTTCCATTCATCATCGCTCATCTTCTCGGGCTTTTCCCCAAGAGGTGCGTTGAGGTCCTTCCCGTACAGGTAAGCCTCCATTTGCCTTCGCCAGAATCTAAAGTCGAAACCATTGAACCGTTCGACTGGTATCTTTCCCTCCATCTTATCTCCAACCTCCTGGCTCTGATACCAGTTGTTGGGAAATAAGGTAGTTGTTGGGAAATAAGGTCGGGTAAGATGGAATAATAATAACACACCAATATCAATAAAAGACACGAAGATTTGTTAACCCAGTTCGGATTAAATCCTACGTCTGGGGGCGAACCAAGCCATGAACTAGAAGAAGAGAATAAACCGAATGTTACAACTCACACAAGCCCGTATGAATACACTCTCTCTATTTATCATATTCTTAGGGCCCAAAAATAACACCGCTTGTAATAATAACGGCCCACTAAAAACACACACACACACACACACACACACACACATATATATATATATATATATATACCCCGATGATGGACGTCATCGAGAGAGGTCTGAGGCGCATTATTTTCACTTTCTCTCTCGGATCCCCAAATCGGGACGGTGGATGGAGAAGTCATCTTCTTCATGATTTTCTTATCTTTTACTTCTTCATTTTTATTCATTCAGTTCTACCAAACATAGCACCAAAATAAAAAAAAAATATACAAAAATTCATTACAATCTCATATAAACACAATTTTCGGAATACCCCATGTTGATAAAAAATCGCATATCAACAGTTTGACGCTAGAAGGAGGTCCCCGTAATTTCCTCAGGGTTAATTTTCGTCGACAAACAGCCGCATCTCTACCGCAAAAATACCGCAACAATACCACGCGAATTTAAGCAAACTTATTCTAAATTTTACTCAAATTTCGTTGTTCAGTACTTTGTTATGCTCAAATTCATGGAGGCTCTGCATAAGTTTTTTCTTTTTACATAAGTTTACTGTGAAGACAAAAAAGATAACATCATTTTTGTGTATGTACAAGAGGTAGGCCACGTCACCCGCTATTACTTTTTGCCTCTTTCCCTTGAACATGAAAAGGCCACGTAGCCCCTTGTCATCAGTTTTTCTTTTATCACAAAAAAAAAGGGCAGCCAAGTTTAACCTATGTTCTTCCGAATTTCGAGAGCCTCAACAAAAAAAAAAAAAAAAAACTATCCCAGAAATTTAACCACCTAGATCTCCTCTCTTTTAAGCGATAGAGATATTGGTTGAATTTTTACGATCGAGCTCCGCATCTGCAAACTAAAGCCATCCCCATCAGGCTGAAACTTCTCCACAAACAATCCCGGCAGCATGAGTTATCAAAAAATCAATAAACAAAGCCACAGTTTTGCCAGTAACGGCCGACAATTTACCTGACAGGAAACATTTCGCAACAGTGCCCGAGCTCTAATCTCTTAACCATGACCGACTACGCTGCCATCGGCTTCCCAATAACATAGCTCAAGTTAATCAAACACTGGACGACTTCAACAACTACAACCCGGGACCATCTGGAGTCAAAATATCAGATTTTATCCACCGTCGGGTCTTAACATGACCAGAGCAGAGCACCGGAGGCCCGAAAATTTTGATGCAAATCTGTAAGGTCGAACCAGTCGTTGCCTGAAGCGGGACTCCTCATTCCAGTCGGACCAACCTCAACTCCTCCGACAACCAACCAACCTCAACATCCCATCACCGACTTCCAAGTTGGGGCCAAGTCGGGGACGACTTCGACCTCACCACTGACAGCCAGAACCGACTTCACAGTAGCCAGAACCGACTTCGATCGTTGGGTCACCCGAGCGACCAACAAGACCGACATCATCCTCTCCAAAATGAATTCCTATCCCACCGACTTTAAGCACCGGGGAGGCGACTATATCACACCGACCGATCTTCAATTACCCCAACCGAGGTGCGACAAACCACGACCGACCGACCACCATACTGCAGCTGGGGTCGACATCTTCATCACCGACTTCAGCCCATCTGTTCTCGATTTTACCACGGTCAATTCCAAAACCGAAGTTCGGGACAACTGACATCACCCTTGTTGAATTGCCGAACCCCGACATCCTCGACCTCAATTGTCAGGACCAGCAAACATCAGTTAATGGCCGACACAAACTCGGGTCCCCAAAATCGCTGAGCAAAACTTTGCCATCGCATCAAAGCTCGGATCTCCGAACAGACAGCGACCAACTTGACCACAGTAAACCACGGCCGACCTCAAATCAGAACGAGGTTGAGCTCTTT